TCTTTAAAATTCAAATACATTATTTTCTATGAGTGTAGGCACACCGGCGGCGCCATTTGGCGTCTGTCCGCGGTGCCCGGAAAACAAACGCTGTAGTCCAAACGAGCCGTTTGCTGTAGTTTTTGAAAAGGGATTTTTTAAAAACTAAATATTTCCCTTTGGAGTGGACTTTGAGATTTGTAACTTTCTAGATTTTTTTTATGCCCAAACATACACACTACACACTGACTAAAATAAAAATGTGAAAAAGCATAATAGGAACCCTTTTAAAAGGTAACAGAAGAGCATAAAAATAAATAATTGAAATGGTAGTTGGATCTGTGCTACTATTGGAAACCTGTAGCTGTAATCATCCAGGTGTTCGGGGATTTTTGGTTTCAATGTGCAAATGGAGCCTTAAACCTTGTGATAATCTTAATTTGTAAATGTATATTTGTTTGTAAAAAATTTTACATTGGAAACATTGGAAACATGGAAAAAAAAAAGAAGAAATTTTAGCAACATGTTTTTGCAGCAGTGTATGTAGTTTACAAAGTTTACAACCAGACAGCAGACAATTCACAACCAGACAACATGGAGAATGTTGAAAGAGGTAAGTTAAGACATGGATCATCACACCAGTATACAAAAAAAAAATGTCTACAGATACGTTTATATAGGTTTATTTCATTTGTTGCAGGCAGTGATGTATTCAACAAATAACTAATAACATACACAGTTTTAAAGCATCGCAAGCTACAAATGAAGAGCACAAAGAACTGAAATCAATGTATACAACTAGCTGAAGTTTGCTGTGCTTTATTCTAACATTAATGCCTGCAATCATTCAGTCAGGGACGACTGCACAAAACGTGCACTGTAAACTAATAAAAACATTATAAACGTTACGAAATGATAAACAAATCTAGTTTGTGCAATGCTGGAAATATGTTTACCTTTTTTATAATATTCCATTAAACCTGCTGAGATACAAGGAGCTTGAACTGAAATTTTCAGTTCCACCTGGTTCCACGCGCATGTTCGGGAAACTTATGAATATTCATCTATGCTCCTCCACCTGAAACAGAAAATCTCATAACACCGGCGACTGTCCGCGGACTGACCGGCTTTAGTCATTAGGCTTGTTTGAGAGGAGCAAAATTTGCACAGAACCGATCACCGCGAGATGAATGCCGGTTTAGAAAAGTGTCCGAGTTACATCCGACTTGCTCTGATGTCATGCTGATGTGTGCAAAATAAACTCTCGCGACGGCGAGGCGGCTGTGTCGGATTGTGCAGTCGAGCGCAGTTGCTCTCTATGGCTTTCGGACGGATTCTTTAATATGACGTTGCAACATGCACTCGTCTCACTGAACGTCTCACTGACGTCTTAATTTTGTATTTATTTTTTGCTATTTAATCCATTCATTTTAAGACACAGACGAGGCGTAGACGTGACTTAGATGTGACGTAGACGTCACACAGACGTCACGTAAATCACGTGTGGCAGTGAAGTGTCGAGCCAGACGTCACGCGTGATTCACGTGTAGCAGTGAATTTTTTAAAAATAAATTTCGCTGACGCGTATCATAACACGCTGCTCACACGGCTGACATCTGTCAATCAACGTATACTGGAAGAACCAGCCGAAGAACAGCAGGGTCGTGGTAGAAAGTTCGGAGATGGTATTAAAGTAGCTGAGTTTAAATGTATTGTATGAATTGCCCTTACTCTGGAATAAAAAATACTGGGTGTCTATTTACATTTCGTTAAAAGTGGCTGTAAATCATCAGCTCCAATGGTGCAGATGGATAAGTGCGTGGCCTTGGCTTTTTGCCGCGATCGACCCGGGTTCGATCCCGTCTTTTGCCGAACTTTTTTTTCCTCCCTTTTCAAATCTCGTATTAGCAATGGATTCTTTTTACACTAAGTGAAAATAGCAGTATTTTTTAGCAATATGCTATTTACACTAAGTGCAAATACCTATTTACACTATGTTAAAATAGCAGGATTTCTACTATCAAGTATACTACTTGTTGCAAATAGTGGCAATTATCTGCACTTCAGTATTGTAGTACATTATAAAACAGTATGCAATAATAACGTATTGAGTGTAAATTATAATTTTAATTTTAATTATTAAATGGATGCCACCTTATTGGTACAATAAAGCCCTCCCTACACCTACCCTAACCCTACCCGATACTTTATTTTCAACTTTTTGATTATTTCCTTAATTTTTATTGAAAATAAATGCCTTTACGATGTGATACGAGATTTGAAAAGGAGGCTGGATCGAACCCGGGTCGATCGCATCAAAAAGCCAACGACAAGCACTTATCCAACTGCACCACTGGAGCTGATGTTTGACAGTCACTTTTAACTAAATGTAAATATACACTCCGTATTTTTTATTCCATAGCAAGGGCAATTCATACAATACATTTAAACTGAGCTACTTTAATACCATCTCCGAACTTTCTACCACGTGTTCATCATATTTATTTTCATATAAAAGCAACAGAACTGAAATTATATCATGTTTATCAGCAGCACAGCACACGAGTGAGAATAACGCGATATCCACCTTTGATCTCGTAGGTATCTGTTCCACTTCGAGAGGCCAGAACTGTCTTGACTGCGCTTATTTCACTCCTTCCCTCACTGCAGCCGCCTACTCTCGCCTTCATTTCAGGCAAGGCGAGGCGCATCTCAAACAAGCCTATTCTAATATGGAGAAAATGGGCGGCGTTCATTTAACCCATACACTGAATAGGCAGATTTGGAGAGGTTTTATTTTTTTCTCAGAGAAATTGTATTTATTTTATTTAGATGATGTTTGTCTAATTATGAATTGCTTAAATAAATAAAATTTGTAATAATTATTTATTTAATATACTATATTTTAAAACATTTATTTGTGTGTATATATATATATATATCATGAAATACAATTTCTCATATCGTCCCCCCCACCCCCTCCCGTATTGAACCATGACAAATCTGGTCACCCTAGGTATGTTGTAATGAGTGAAGATGTCTGTGCTGGAATTAATAGTTTTGCCTTCCTTTTATGTGGTTAGGCTACAGCGGCAGTGCTCTTTCTGCAGCTCTCACCCACAGTTGTGATTTCACAGCAACAACAACAATAATTATAAAAAGGTCTAGTTTGTTGTGATCATTATTTCTTCTCTCGTGATCTCTACATAATTAAACATTGTAAAAATCATTTGTGAATGGATTTTCACATGGATTCGTCTTCCTTGTCTACCAAGAAAGACGAATGGTACAAATAGTTTTCATGAATTTGTAAAACATCACAAATATTAGACTATTATAAAGCAATGTTTTATATAAAATACATGCTAAAAATATATTATCCCTTCCTACATGTATATGCTAACCTCCCACTGCACTCTAGTGGTTGTGGCTGTCTAGTGTAAGTGTGCTTCTCTGTCCTCAGATAGTCATGAATGGAGAAAACCCCCCCAATAACCAAGTCTCCGTTCTTGAAGAGTGCAGGGGCCTGAGGGTTGCCTTGCAGGATGCAGGTACCAAAATTAACTCCACACACAGCAGGACAAAGCCTGGCAATGCAAAGTACTGTTATGAGTGAAACATGCATGTCTCCTGCTAGAACAGCGAACTCCCCAAATATCAGGTGAGCATTTCACCACGTTTAAATAGCCACTATTGTTTTCTGTGAAAATGAATTTGCAAGGGGAAAAAAAAAGCGTAAGAGGGTGTGGTTAATATATTTTAATACTCAGTTATAATTACAATATATCATAAAGTTAATCCTAAAAAAAAAAAAAACTTGCTTTCTTCAAAGTCACTCCACCCCCTGTCAATCCGTGGAGAAATGTGTTACATTTAAAATGCATTTTTATATTTCTTTCTTTCTGTCACTGTACTACTTTTTACAAGTTTACACTATTATTTTACTCTGACAAATAGGTCATATTCTGCACCCTGGATTTTTTGTCCTCGTTATTATTATTATTATTATTACTTATAAAGAGCATGGACACACTGTCCCAGGAGAGATGTAGAATTGAGTTTGGCCTGTGTTGTACCTTATGGTCTCTCAAAACATTTAACAGGAAAAGAAGATCATCATTGTAGTGTCCAGTAAATTAATACACTAGCACACACTGCTGAACCATTGTGTGATAACTAATTGTATAATGTCTCATTTGTATGAATGGTAGCAATAAGAAAGTAACCCTCCTATGGTGTTTGGGTTCCTTGTTTAATGTTTCCTTTGTTGAAAAACATGGTTCCCTTCATTTAATTTCTTCTAATTGTAGTGATTAAAATATAAATATGAAGTTAATTTTGTATTAATTGATTAAATAATTTACATTTGGTTTATTGAAATAAATAATTTGTGAATGTACTCTGACATTGTAGTTATATTTTGCAAATTATGTGGCATTATTTCAAAAATAATATCAAAGAACAAAATAAATAAAATAAATAGATAAATAAACATGACAAAATTATTAGAACACTAGTATTTTCACCAGCTAAAAAAATGGTTTTAAGTCAGTTATTTATATATTTTGTAGTGTGTCAGTAGCAAATGTCAATATATATTTTCTTTTTTCTTCTTTTATACAATCACTCTGTAAATTGTAAATGTGTTGGGACTGAACGGAACTCCAAACATCATAAGTGTTAAGTTAAAATGAGGAGAGTATGACATTTGACTCCTACTCATAATAATAATAAAAAAAATAAAAAATAAATCTGTGTTGATTTAATGACTGTTGCTATTTTGGTAATTTAGATATATATATTTTATTTAGCATTTTAAGGATTATTTCTATTTCATCCCATTTGTGCGGGGCTCACAACATTGTGAATTGTATTATTTGTCTTTTCCCATTAGATGTTGTTTGGTGTTTTTCTGAGGCTTTATTAAAATTATATAAACCTTGGGGGTAAACAAGCAGAAGAGGAGACCAAAACTAGAAGCTAAAATGGCAAAAATTTCCACAGCAGTTGTAAATTTACCAGGTGAACTGACATATGCAGGTACAAATGCTAGCCACACTGCACAAAATATAAGCATGCTGAAGGTGATGTATTTGGCCTCATTAAAATTGCCTGGCAACTTCCGGGCCAGAAAAGCCAGAAAAAAACAGACACAAGCCAAAAGGCCAATATATCCCAGCACACACCAGAAGGCCAGATCAGAGCCCACACTGCAATCCAGGATGATCTTGGACTGTGTATATTTAGTGTTTCTATAGGGGAAAGGAGGGGATGCTACAAGCCAAGCAGTACATATGATCACCTGGACCAGAGTGCAGCAGAAGATGATTATTCTCTGCTGTGTGGGGCCCAACCATTTCATTATATTGTTTCCAGGACGGGTAGCTGTAAAAGCTGCCAAAACCACCAAAGTCTTGCCCAGGATGCAGGAGATGCAGAGAGAGAAAGTGATGCTGAAGGCAGTGTGCCGCAGCATGCAGGACCAGGATGTAGGTTCCCCAATAAACACCAAAGCACATAGAAAACATAGAGTCAGCGATAACAAAATGAAAAAACTGAGTTCTGAGTTATTTATGCGTACTACAGGAGTGTTTCTGTAATAGAGAAATACAGCAAACACAGCTAAAGTTAGGCACGCCCCAACTAAAGCTATTACTGTTAGGGTCAATCCCATTGCATCATGGGACAGGAATTCGACCACTTTTGGAATGCACACTGTTCCATCAGCATTTGACCAGTAATCTTCAGAACAGGCCATACACTCTACTGAATCTAAAGAGAGGGAAAGACTATAAAAATTAGGATGAAGATCACTTTTTTTCGTGAGATTTATTGCTGCATTATTGAAGTTGTTCTCCAACCTGTCTTATTACTGATTTTGCCACTGTCACATGGTACACAGTCAAAGCAGCACAAAGGCTGGCCACGGCGGACAGCTTTCCTGAATCCTGGAGCACAGCTGTTGCTGCACACAGACACCAGCACCTGCTTAGCCAACAGATCCACATAAATTAGAAATGTATATTAGTGTATATTTCAGGTCAAAATCAGAAATAATTACTTGACAAGAAACAAACTAGATAATATTAATCTAACCAGAATGAATTAATGAGCATGTGACATACTTTGACATAGACTGAAAAACAAGGATTACTATAGCCTTTTGCGTTTCCTTTCCATAGATAGAACTGCCATCTTCAGATGAGCAATTCTTTATTTAAGACACTTACCTCCATTTGACCCTACAGAACTTCAGAACATGGAATCTCATGTACTGAAATACACTGTGAGAACAGCTTGCCTCAGTCTGATGGCCGGGCCAAATGATAGCCTTCTCCTGGATGACCAGTTCTTGGCCAGATTCTTGTGCACCGTCAAACATGCCCACATTAACAAACTCAATATTTCCAGCTGAGCCCCTCTGCCAGTTTATAAGGTCATAAGATGGAATAGAATCGCCTTTCATGTCAAACTTCACTGTCTCTCCTGAAATAGTGAATGACACCTCTTGTAGATACTGCTGTAACTGTGAAATATTGCGTTGAAGAGATAAAAACAAGACGGTTTGTTTACAATGGTTCAAGTCATAACCTGGTACACAGTTACTTTAGCATTAAACATTTAAGCACTCCTTATTTTGAGTACCTGCCATGGGTAGACACTGCGCAAGTTTGCACATGTGGAGTTACTAAATGGCCCTTTTCCAGGTGTACAGTGAATAAGATTATGCAGGGAATAAGCAATGGCATAGACTCCTTTATAAACATTATAGGAAATGCGGGGGCTGGAAGTGTTAAAATAGGCAGAGTGCTGCACCCTTAGAGTCTCCTTCCCTGTACAGGAGGGCAGATGATTATTCAAGCTGGAACTGGAGGGGGAGCAGCCATATAAAGCCCCCCACAGCTCGTGAACCAGAGGATTTGAGGGGTACTTTTCTGGATTGACTGTTGTGAGATACTGTCTTAACCCAGGGATTTGGCCCTGTCGTATACCAAATCCTATGGTCCCTCCCAAGAAAGGGTAATATTCACTTCCTGTGAACACAGAGGCTGTAACCCATGCCTCACTAGCAATCCACTGTATCCCAGTGACATTCTGTTCCATGTAGTCTCTCAAGAAGGGTGTGAGCTCCCCTTCAGCTGAGAACACCACTACCACCCGAGCAGTGGAATGGTTCATGACACGAATGATTTCCAGTGCTCTTTGACGCTCGTATAAGAGAGGAATCATCTCCTGATAAGCAACACATATTCCTGTACCCTCCAGCTCCTTCAGTAAGCCCTGAAGAGCAAAGCGACCATACTCGTGATCTCCTCGTACCACTCCTACCCAGGTCCACTTAAAATGCAGCAGGAGTTTTGCAATGGCCTTTACTTGATAGGCATCACTAGGGATGACTCTGAAGAATGTGGGGAATTCTTGCCTGTCACTTAAACAGGCACAGGATGAAAAATAACTGATCTGTCAAGAAAAAAGGGAAAAAATATGTAACAAGAATATGATTTAATCTTTGATCTAAAGTTTTAGTGTACATGTTTCACTGTCAGTCGATAAGGCTGTTAGACTGATAAGACTGTCCATTACTGGAAAAAAATACAGACACACACACACACAGCATAATGCACTTACATTAAAAAAAAAAAAAGTTTCACTTTAGACTCACCATTGGTATCCCAAAAGGCCTCAAAATTCTTGAAACTACAATAGACTGAGCTGACCCAGATTCTCCGATGATAGCAAGCAGTGGACCAGCACCTTCACACATAGGACTATTTTCCCCATGTGGCCCATTTAGAACAGCTACTGCTGATCTCTGCCCTGTCAGAGGGTATGCACATGAGTCAAAGATTGTGTAACCCAGACTGTAGTTAGGCAGGAGATCGGCTCGCTTGTTTATTTCCTCTACAGCAAGTTTCATAGTAAGGGCCCAGCGGAAAGCTCTCGGATCAAATCTACAGATGAAGAAAACAGAAGTAAGGACATAAAGGGCATTCAAACTTAAACAAGCAGGTTTACATATTTCTAGCAATACACACTTTCAAGATGTTTATATTCAAGATGTTCTCTATGTAGTTAAAAATAAATACAATTAATTAATTAAACTTTGTTACTCACCCATTACATTTGACTGGCCCCGGTTTGTAAGTACAGTTAAGGTCTGGCATTTCCTGATTGTAGTGCAATGGAAAAATACCACCTATTACATAATCTCCATTTGCCATAAGGCCTGGCTCAAAATCATTTTGCAGGACACATTTTGAAGTATGTCCAGGAGTGAGTGCACTGAGATGATGAATCAGAAGCCATGGGAGCAGGACTGTCATGCTCTCTAATGCCTGCATCCCTTAGCATGACTACAGTGGGTAAGATACCCTGTTATATATACCAGACACAGGTCTTAATGCATCTCATTATGCATCACAGTCATATGTCATCAGTAGGATTCAAAATACTCATATTTATAAACATGCTTTATTAATATGCTTCCTTTTTACAACACTAGCACAACCCATGGCCATACATATTGTATTCATTAGAAAGACAATAATTAGTTTTAGTGTAATGCAGTGTATGTTAGTTTTAGCATATACGAATTTATACAGGCTGATTGTTTGCTCCATATCCCTATATGAACATATCACATTAGAGTAAACATAGCATATCATATTAGATGAGCTTTGTTAATTTAAACTATATTCCTATACTTTTTTTTTTTTATTCAATATCCCAAACACCTTATATATCATTTAATAACTTTTCCCATGAGATGTTGCTTGGTGTTCTTCTCAGGCTTCAGTAAAATAATGTAACATTTGGGGGCAAATAAGCAGAGAAGGAGGCCAAAACTAGAAGCTAAAATAGCAAAAATCCCAAACACCTTATATATCATTTAATAACTTTTCCCATGAGGTGTTGCTTGGTGTTCTTCTCAGGCTTCAGTAAAATAATGTAACATTTGGGGGCAAATAAGCAGAGAAGGAGGCCAAAACTAGAAGCTAAAATAGCAAAAATCTCCACAGCAGTTGTAAATTTACCAGGTTGGCTGACATATGCAGGTACAAATGCTAGCCACACTGCACAAAATATAAGCATGCTGAAGGTGATGTATTTGGCCTCATTAAAATTGCCTGGCAACTTCCGGGCCAGAAAAGCAAGAAAAAAGCAGACACAGGCCAAAAGGCCAATATATCCCAGCACGCACCAGAAGGCCAGATCAGAGCCCACACTGCAATCCAGGATGATCTTGGACTGTGTATATTTAGTGTTTCTATAGGGGAAAGGAGGGGATATTGTAAGCCAAGCAGTACATATGATCACCTGGACCAGAGTGCAGCAGAAGATGATTATTCTCTGCTGTGAGGGGCCCAACCATTTCATTATATTGTTTCCAGGTCGGGTAGCTGTAAAAGCTGCCAACACAACTAAAGTCTTGCCCAGGATGCAGGAGATGCAGAGAGAGAAAGTGATGCTGAAGGCAGTGTGTCGCAGCATGCAGGACCAGGATGTGGGTTCCCCAATAAACACCAAAGCACATAGAAAACACAGAGTCAAGGACAGCAGGATGAAGAAACTGAGTTCTGAGTTATTCACACGGACTATAGGGGTTCCTCTGTTGTACAAAAATATCAGCAACACTGTGACAGTCAGAAAGGCTCCGACAACAGCTATCACAGTCAGGGTGATACCCATTGCATCATGGGAGAGAAACTCCACAACTTTTGGGACACACACTGTTCCGTTTGCATTGGACCAGTAGTCTTCAGGGCATGGCATACAATCTATCGAATCTATAAAAATAAAAACAAACAAATAATAAACAAACAAACAGATAAATAAATAATAATAATAATGACAACACGTCAATGCATTTAAAGTTACATTAATGACAGTATAAACAAACCTGTCTGATTACTGATCTTGCCACTCTCACATGGAACACAGTCAAAGCAGCACAGAGGTTGCCCACGACGGGCAGCAGTCCTGAATCCTGGGGCACAGTTATTATTGCACACAGAGACAGGTACCTGTGAAAACACGCATGTTAGTGTTTCCCAAGAAAAGCTACCTTTATACAGAGGTGGCCAAAATTATTAGAACACTAGTATTTTCACCAGCTAAAAAATGGTTTTACGTCAGTTATTTCTATCTTTTGCTGTAGTGTGTCAGTAGGAAATATCAGTTTACCTTTCCAAACATTCTTTTTGTCATTAATTGTAAAAATCCAGTGAGATTTTTGACAACAGCCAGTGCTCCACACTGATCTGATCTCATCATCATCCAGTCTGTTTGGAATGACATGAAGAAACAGAACAATCTGAGACAGACTAAATCCAGAAGAAACCTACCTGCAAAGCTACAGTACTGTTAAAACTTTTAGGCACTTTTGTAAAAATGTTGTAAAATGAGGATGCTGTCAAAAATAATGTCATAGATAGACTTTCTTTATTAAGTAACGTTTGTTCAAGTAACAAGTAACAAGTATCAAGTAACGTCTATTAACTAAATTAAATAAATATTTCATCCTTTGCGTTTAAAGCAGCTTTTGCCCT